ATTTAATGTAGCATTAAAATACAATCAGTCTAAATAGAATATCTTACCATCATAAGTCTTCAATTCTTTTTTTTTCAAGGACCCTTTTATGCGTCATTCTGTTATGCGTATCGATGACTCAGCTTCATTCACCATCAAGCATTGTCTGTAAAAAAAAAGAAGTCTATTTTAAATTGAACTGGCAAATATTTTTAGGATTAATGAACTTAAAAGATAATGAATTAAAAAATTGAAGAAAATATTTTTCATTCAATCCAGAACACAAGAAAAATGTCAGGAATCAAGTCGAATTGATAAATATTATGATTATTGATATTGAAACATATTCTTGAAAGAGTTCTTGGACTGAATTGTTAATGTTTGTGCGAATCGAGCTACTCCGTTTTGAGTCATTGTCATTAATGTGCAGAACAGAATATTTTCTTTTCTTGCATCGAAGTTGCTGTGTATTGATCGTAATGTAATTTCTACCATATATGGTAATGCATAGATGTTAAAACATGCAAACCTGCGACAGTAAACAAATGTTGTTGCCATTGGTAAACAACCAGACTATTCTGTTTTCATAATGACTCATTCAGTTCATGTTTTTCTCCTAGCAAAATCTGCCAGAAAGTGTTACTATTGAATATTTCTATGACACATTACACATAAGCATATATAAACTGTCGTACCTTTGAAGAATAATGTTTCAAACAACAACAATAATGTTTCTTTTCAATCGACAGCTATTGCGATGGTCACCAGAGAAACTGTTATTTGACATAATACTAAATTTCGAAACCATTCGATGTGGCTCGATGGTTTCTCTTGACATTGGCTTCGATGATTTTTACGACCTATCTCAATATACTTTTCTTTTCAACTGTCACTACTAATATTACTCGAGACTTACAGATTCTTGCTGTATTCATCATATTCGAAAATGTCACGGCTTATTGTCGATTACAACAAAATCTTGCTAATAAAACATTTCTCTATGACTTTATCAAACATGTTCAAACAAGATTGAATCAACGAATATTAAGTACCGAATGGATCAAGATCAAACTCTCTGATCAAGTGGAAATTCGACGTAAAATTGAAGAAGCTTCGTCGACCATTCAAGGTTTGATCGAATGTTTCTTTTATCAATTGCCTGGATTTCTGAATTTTATTATGACAGTTGGTACCATATTTTACATTTGTCCGATGGCAACAATTTTCATTGCAATTATCTATATATGTATCTATCGATACTATCTGAACAAGAAAAGTAATGATTTACTCGCTATGAAATTGAAATTCACCGATGAATACACAAAATTAAGTTCGAAATATGCACGTGCAAATGAGAATATGTTCGAATATGTAATCCATCATGAGAAAGAGAGAATAATCGACATAACAAATGAATTAAAAGTCGAAATGGAAAGAAAATGGAATCTACTTTTTTATTTGTACGATCGATTGTCATTTGAAGAAAATGTGATCGGAAAATTGTGCACATTCTCAACTCTTCCTGCCTATGTAGCATCAAATGGAACTAATGTATTTATCATTCCATTATATCATCATTTATTGAAATTAACGAGTAGCATTGATCAGATACTCATTTTCTACATTCAATCATTACGATTCATCAAAGACTATAGTATTATCATACCAATACTTGAAGAGTATGAAGAACGAGTCAGCATGAAACAAACACAGTTACGAAACGAAATTGAAATCGAAGATTTGTCGTTCAATTACAAAAATGCGAGAACGATGTTTCATTTGAAACTGAACAGTTCGCTTACGTTCAAAATTGGACAAGCTATACTTGTCACAGGAAAAAGTGGAGCTGGTAAGTTAATTATCGTGGCCTTAAGTCAAGCACAGCTCACTTCTAAGACGATTCCATAGATTGTAACCTAAAAGAATGTTTGGTAAAAAACATAAGATCGAATTTCTTGTGAAATCATCCTATGATTCTTCGTCATGAGTCAATCTGATCTTTGATTGGCATCTTGCAGATAATGTCTTTTCATACTATGTGTCCATAGAAGAGATCTGATTGGTGTGAAATCCACTGAGTGAGAACTCATCGAATCGAACCATCTCTTTTAATATACATCTTAGAAAAAAATGTAGCTGATGTAATTCATCAATGAAACACGTCCATATATGTTATTAGATCGAAACATTAGAAAAGCTCTACGTTATTCAGAAAAGAAATTTTCTATCAGCCACGACTCTTGACATCAGTATATGTTCACATCTCACCCTTATCCTCAAGATGTATTAATCTCACAGTAACTGTACAACAAGATTTGTTTTTTCTATTTGAAGGTAAATCGACATTTTACGACATTCTCATTGGTTCCATTCCGATGAACGATTATCAAGCAAATGTGCGCATCGATCAACAACAAGCAACATTTCATTCAATTGAAACATGTCGAACGATGGTTCTACAGGATAGTCACATGGACTATCGCTCGACCATATTCAGTATGATAACCGATATTGACGAGGGCGAAACAAAACAATACAATAATTATGAACTCGAATCGCTTGTTTGGTACTTTCTTGGTCTTGTTCATATGGATGATTTTGTACATAATGATCTCAACAGTAATCTAGATGAACCATTGGAAAATAAACTCAGCGGAGGGCAAAAGACACGACTTTTGTTGGCAAGAGCTCTATTTCGTACACATCAACGTCAATCACCGATGCTAATTCTCGACGAGCCTGATAAAGGTCTACCTGCCGAAACAACAGTTCCAATTATTGAGAATATTATCAACTGGTACCGACCCAAGGGTATTCTTTTTCTCACATTACATACTGAAAAAGCACATACACTCCAGTATGATCAAATACTTACTATTGACGATGGACTTATAATCAAAGTCAAATGAAAGAAAATAATGGCAATATGCTCAAAAAGAATTTCTTCTATCAATTTTTCAAAACTCTACAGGATCATTGTACTGCTTCCTGTAATGTATTTATATAACAAACTCGATTACCGCGATCATAACTGTCTCGTTGAAAGATTTCACAAATATAGGATTAAAGGGGACAACTCATTTGTCTAGTTCGAATCTTCTTAGGTTCACTTACAATTGTTTCCATCAAATCCGAATGGCTATAATTGACCGATGTTCATCATGAAAAGATTGTCAATGCATTTGAGAGAGGGTGTGGGTGTGGGTATAAATGACATGAAAATCTAGACCTATACTCACACTCACATCCATACCAATACCCTGTTGAAATTTGTCGAAATAATTATTTTTAAATAATAGAAACAGAAGATTTCAATTTTTGGATTATTTTCCAAATGATTTTTAATAAACTAAAGAACGAAAATTTGAAGTCTTAAACTGTTTTTAATCTGAATAATTCAAATTGATTGAAAAATGAAGTAAAGTTAAATTTAGCAATCTTTGAACTTTCGATTTTACGTTTTCGCAAATGAGAAAATACGTACACCCACACCCACACCCATGACGATTAGGCTTCGATGATTTCAATCCAAATCCACAACCATGACAATAACATGAGAGAAACACAATAGATAAGACACCACTGTAACCGCCAGCCAAAATTAGTATAGTGAGAAATTTTGACCGCTGGCAATTAATCGGTTCGTGAAGATAGTAGACACCGAAAATGATTTGTGCTACAGACACGCCAATTCTAAGCATAATTAAAATACTAAAGATAATTCTTCCACAAGATATCATTTTTATTTTATCTAATATTGTGGAAGAAAAGTGTTATCATACACAGTATAAAATAAAAAGAATGATATTACTTCTAATGCGCGTGAATGTTTGTGTGACGGATAGCAAACTGTTTTATTTTTTATATTATCCTTTTACTTTTTGAAGAGAAGATATGACTTGTCTGATGGCTTTCTTCAGCAAACACATGACGGTTTTACCAATACTAATGCATATTAATCAGAAGATTCAACACAAGCGGATATTGTTTTTTTCTATTAGTTAAAATTCTTCGATGTACCGCGATTACTTACCTAGCATCATTCGAATGACAGATATGCATGGAAAATTCGAGATTATCCTAGAAATAGTGAAATCTGTTAGTAATAACAACAACAATAGCACTACTCAAATAGTCATGTAATGAAAAACAACGTTTTTACGTGCAAAAAGTCGAACGAAGCTGTTTCGCTCTTTATTAATGATCTATTGTATTATTTAAAAAAATGGTTGTCATAGAATGCATACAAAAAGAGTAGGTCATAGTTATTGATATCTAATTTTGTAAAACAATGATGAATAATATTGTTGGCAACTGTCTATTGTGATTTAGAGTGTATTAAGTTAAATTTTTGTAAAATAATATAGTCACTACTGCAAAAGAGAAGCGCAGAATAAATCAAAGCAAATATTTTTTAGTTTTATTTACTTCGTTCCGATCACTTTCAATATTAAATATTATTTTTTTATATATTAATTCAATCCATCGTTGGTTACTAATCGCTTATTAAATATATATATAGATTCATCTCTTATTTCAATCGAAAAATATTTTATTCCCTAGACACTTCTAGGTAAGAAAACAAAATAACTATTGAACTAAGACTCACATTCTATTTAGTAAGTATGAATTATTTCTTAAAAGAATATTAACAAGATAGTTAAACACGAATTTTGCTTATTATTAATATAATTAATGAATATTGGGACGACTAATCGATCATGATAAATTAAATCTTAATCATCTTAAAGAGCGTTAAATTGATCAGAATATCGAAAAAACGGTTGTTTTTTCTTTTGCAAAATAAATGTGACGTTTTACTCCAGAATGATTTCTTTTTCAAAGAAAATTTTAATCTCTTTATTAATTCGAATTGATCGATTCGTTTATAACAAAATTCTAAACAAACTCATTGAGGAGATCGACGTGAAATAAGTACAAGAGAGGTTTTATAGTAAAGAACTCAGGAGATGAGCCGATTAGCTCGACTTCTACCAACATTCTATTGAAAGTTCGATTCGGGTCAGGTCAGATCGGGTGAGTTCGGATTAGCAGTCTGGAAGTTTTGCAAAGACAAAAGGCATTTTGGATTCTTTCTCATTTAGAAGGTCTCTCCGAGAGTACTTGTTCCAATCCAGGATTTTTACTTTATTGACATAAGACGACAACACATAGTCGATGAATTGGTTGTTGCGTGGTGTTATAGAAGGATCAAGTTACACATATGAGAGAAGAAACGCAAATAAAAAACATTCTATCATATAATCTTGCCATATCATCTGTACAATATCGGCGAGTGTTGCACATTTACTTAGCGCTGTAAGAAAAATCATCTCCAAGCTCCAATCGAATCCGTCACCAAGTATAGTGAACGGTATTCTTTTTCTGTGTTCAACAAGAATCATGAAATAAAGGATGTGGGTGTGTCAGTGTGGACACATGAAAGATCAGCACGCACATCCACACTCCAACATTCATGTATGAATGACTCTAAATCCGCCTAAAATAGTATATCTGGCGTAGAATTTCACACGGAATATGAATCTGGTATCAGATTTGTTCTACAAACGCAAGGAGCTAAGTTACAGATCAATGGCATCTTTGACAAGTATCAGTAAGTCCAGATCTTGAACAAGATTTTACCATCTTAGAGCAGAAACGTCATGCTCTTCTGTTTTAGTCACAAGTAATTCGTCTAGACACAAGGATCTAATTAATCAGATCTCGTTACAAGATGATCACTTTATCCTGTACCTGAATTTCCAAGATCTATTAATATTTCTATACCTTATTACTTGACCGAGATCTTGATTGTACGATGTTTCACTAGGGTGGTTGTATTAGAGTAGCAAAAATGCTGTTATTTCGTGAAACACGATTTAAAAGGAGTGTTGAAGTGTATAGGGATAGAAATTTGGACTCAATATCCCGCTCTCCCCTTCATAGACATAACCAAGGTCTCTCCCTCCATTACAGACCTTAGCAACCAGAGTCAACGATCATCGCGTACGTTTCCATAGCACAAAGGAGGACGAGTAATAGCCAATGGGTAAGTTCCCCTAGCAATGAGAAAAGGCATCTCAATTATAACAACGCTCAGGTCATTCTGAAACTTTTTAGACTCTTTCAAAGCCCTATGAATCTTACATTTCTACTGGAAATTTTAGCTGATCTAAATATCACGGGTTTCAGTATTTAATGCAGCAAAATGACCTAATTCTAGGTATCAATCAGTATGGTGATTGTATTGTTGATGTATTAGATTCCGAACAGAATCGACACAAAGAGCATGAACTATTCAAGTTTTAACTTTCGAAAATAATTAACATCAGTCTTTCTATGCTTATTGAGATACATAATAGAGCTTTGAGAGCAGTTGTAGAATTAAATGAATGTATATAACAGGCTTTTTTGTCAGTTAAATCAATGACATGAAAAATAAAAATAAAAGTAAATTAAAAAGAACAGGATAAAAAAAAAGAAAATAAATAATGAGCCGTTATAACCTATTAGAGAGCGTCGTCATTTTAGATGTTTTGTATTAGTAAAATGACGCTAAAGAAGATACCTGAGTTTTATATTTTAACTCCAAATGTGTTGCACTGACAAACTTTCTCATTTACAAAATAAGTACGTAGCTCGATCGTGCTTCACATATTAATCTTACAAGGATTGCACTAACAGCTTTTTCTTTTCGTTTATTTTTCTAGAAATATGTTTATGTAAAGAAATCAGTATTTTCTTTTTCTTTTGATCAGTACCATTGATCATATAAATTAAATTGTAATTTAATTATGAAAAGAAAAGATAACGGTAATAAACAGTTTGACTAGCATGAAAAGCAACACTATCTGTGAGAAAAAAATTTTGAATAAATGGACACCCTATGAGTGGCTCATGGGCTGAGTTGTTTAGGCCTAGTCCGATCTATTCGAAGTTCTGCTCACTTTATCATGTAGAGATGATGAAAAATAAATATTTATTAGAATTTGAATCTAAATCTTCAGGTAATCAAGATATAAAAACAAAAACAAATAACTAGCATATTTTACATATAAAATGTTCACAATAAATAAAAAATATTAATATGATTTGTAGATATTCATCAAAAACTATTTATAAACATATACACAGGATTAAATAAAAATGATAATCAATATTTTATTCAACATCATCACTAGTGTTGTCATTACATCACAAATCAATGGTTTGCCATTACCTACAGTGTGTATAACATTTTATATATTCATATTTAAAAAAAAAATTAGATAATGTGTTTTCCCTATTTCTTTTAAGAACAAGTTATATAGACAAAAACCATACGAGAATCGTAAGTATCAACTAAATCTAAATATATTCAATATTATTGATGAAAACTTCTCTGATAAACTCATGACTATTTATCTTATGATGATCGTAAAACTAAATATATCAATTTTTTTTATAATCTGTATAAAAAAAAAGGTCTTATGGGATGATTCATGATAGTGAAATTACTTAGTTAAATAAATCTTTCTCTTTTTCTCAATCTTGATTTCGATCGATTGATTTGTTTTATTAACAAGTTAATCATTCAATTGTAATAATCATCATACGAGACTTATATATCTACAGAACTCTTCGAATCGTCCCAATTAAAAAGTCAATTTCTGGGGGAAAAAACCATACTTCGAGGTAATAATACGAACATGTTACCTACTATGTCTAGTTTTGGACTTTATAGAAATAAAGTTTCAATACTTTCTGATGTCCTTCTACACAAATATAAGTACAGAAATCATAAAGACAAATGCAACTATTGTCATCTTATTGATGAACGTGCCATCATCATATCTATTATTTCAACTCGTATAAGGTCTTATAAACATATATTACATTATAAAGTGTTAAGAATTTTTTTATTTATTTAGCCACTCGATATTCATCTGGATGACGATAACGAATTCTTCGATGGTATTTTAAGACTTCGAAGATTTAATACATCCTCCAACATTGAAAAGAAAAAGCAACAATAAAAAATCCTTTCTCTTAATCTCATGCAGTAAATAGTATTTCTTCAAATAAATCAGTTTTCCATTCGGTATAGCGAAAAAGAATTTATAAGAACAGAAGATCAATTTTGAGTCTTGATCTCTAGTAAAATTTCTACACGTTAAGATTTGGAGACGTAAAAAGAGTTTCATAACTTCACCTTATAGGTCTAATATTTCTTTAAAGTAAAAAAAAAACTTACAAAAAATAAAATGTTTATCAATGAAGAAAAAACACCAACCAATATGAGATTAGACTATCTTAGAAATAATCCTCGATTATTTTGCATTTTAGCCAAATATGTTGAAGGCGATATGGTGTATCCTGCTGCATTTTTAACACCGACGGGTGTAAGTTTACTTAAATTTAGTTTTTTTGAATAAAATTTACTATTTATTTTCTTGAACAACATCAAGCGTGGAGTACTTCGTCGTGGTACTTCAGTAGCATGGCCAAATGGAATTGTACCATATCAATTTTTACCAGGATACGGTATGAATATTTTCATAGAGAAAATATTTTTACGAAGTTCAATTTTAAAATGAACGAGAAGATTTTCTTTTTTAAAACATTACTTATTAAAGAATATTGAAATACACAGTAATTAAAAATTTTTGAGAAAAAAAAAGTCGAAAAATTACACATCAATAAAAAATCCTTGCAATATTTTGTTTTGATAATTGATTATTTCTATAATGTTAAAACAAACATTTTCATCATCATAATTCAAAATTCAATTCTATATTAGTTTATGTATTTTCCTCAAGAAAATACTCATTGAAAAATTCTAGAAAAAATTTGTTATCGTATGATATGCCATTAATCATAGATGTTCAACTGTAGAATTACTTTAGATCTTATCGAAAGATATTATATTCGACATGCCATGAAGAGAAATGTAAGGATCTCATGATTAAGAGCAAGCAGCATGATTGAATAGCAATAGAATGGAGAAAAAAGATATGCCTTCGCAGGACTTAAATCGCACATTTCTTCTCCATCTTATCATCGTAAGAGAAAACTATAGATGTGTAGCAAGCAATATAGAAAAATTTCATATTAATAAAAATAAAATTATTTTGTAGGACCTTCACAACAAGTATTTATAATTAATGCAATGGAAAAAATGCAACGTGAAATAGCGATTAATAATGTTGCATGTATTAAATTTCGACCAAGAATTCCATCTGATCAATATTACATAAGTTTTAATAATGGAGATGGATGTTCATCACCTGTACTTATATTAATTATATACAGTAGAGTGCAAAAATAATTGCCGATAGACTTTTCAAAGTTCTTCTCAGAGAAGTATCAGATATTATGATTTATCAATGTTGTTGTACTACCCAGATACTGTACTATATAAATATATTAATCATTAAAACTTTCGCATTCTCTATGAGTTTAAAGAAGATAATAATCTTACGTTCTTGGAAAGAATAAAAAAAATTACAAGTTACGCATCAGTTTTAATCCAGTTGTCGGGTCAGAATCTTTTTGATTCATCAATATCTTAAAGTTTTTCATTCATATCAATTGATTGAATGGTCTGGAAGAATAATTTAAGTAGATTCAGACTTGTGCTATTAAGTAGCCAAACGATAATTTTACCTATTTAAGGCTGGTCGATCCTATTGTTAGCCTTATTACAACACAGTGTTACACTCCTCAATCTTGAAAATTTTATCATAACTAATGTGAATAAGGATCATCGTTATACAGTAGTTTCAAACTTCTTCTCGATAATCATTACTTCAATTATGTAATATGATTTATTGGTCAGATCAGATGCACATAATGTTTGAATGATAAGTCATTTTTGGGCAAATGCATAACAGTTTTCGAGCAATTGCCGTCTCATTGAATGCATCAAGGCAGTACCTAATACTTGCACATAACTCGAGAAAAATCGCTCGAAGAACGTACGAAACAGTTTTAAAGAAAGTCAATACACTAAACGGCAATTTTTTTTGCACTCTACTGTATATATATATATATACGCATGTATATAATGTTATTCTAATTTCATCTTAGGTTGGACAAATGACAGGTGAAGGTATCAATCATATAGTTACACTAAACTATCCCAGTTGCTTTTACAACGCAATTATTATGCATGAATTGTTGCACACATTAGGTAATCTTTTTAAATACTCTTCTGTATTTTTATCTTTTTAATAATTATAAACAAGTGAAAGTAAACATGAGAATTTTCCTAACAATTTCACTAGCGCGGAACTTGTTAACTCGATTTAAATTTTAAAAGTTTCTTGAACTATTCGACTTTTAAACTCAAATTTTCAACTATCATAGATCTTTCATCCTCATTGTTCTCATCAATAGTTGAAACTTCAAATTTAAAAGTTGAATAGTTGAAACGATTTTTCGAGTTTTACATTTATGAGACGAACAAAAAGTACTGTGACTGTTTTAATAAAAATGCTTTTAATAGATCATAAGAATTGCACTAAAAGCTTTGTCTGTGGGAAATTCAGGGCGATTGATCCGTCAACCGATCTTATCAGATCCTATATGGCCTCATCCCGATCCCGATAAGATCTAAGAAAATCCGATAGTATCCTATATGCTTTCATCGGAATCCAGCTTACGATATCGCTCAAATTATGACCGAAGATAACTGCAATATTTAGCTTTCAAATGACAAATAATTGAATAATAGACATACAAAATCAACTAAGATATGTAAAAAGTTTTTGTCGGTGTTTACAATAGCGGTAGATTTCTAGTTATTTGTTCTTCATATATAATGCAGTTCAATTAATATTATCACATATATAAGAAGCTCAGCAAAAAAAAAAAAGAAGAAAGATGTGCACCGAAATATAATGATGGAATAAGTGGACAAGCAGAAGAATGATGCACAGAGATGTTTAGAGTTGATCAAGATTAGAAGAACAATACAGAAACATCGTACAAAATGATAAAAAAAATCTCAATTTTCTCCTCTATTACTTTCAAGAAGAGAATCTTCTACATGCAATTCAAAAGCGTTTCTACATAATTCGAATGATGAAAGTGTTTTTATCGAAGCAAACATTTCTAATCGGTTAATGAAAGTTTTGTTTTTTATCCCGATGTTTTCTAAAAACAAAAATGTTGTCAAATAGAACTTGTGATATTTGTAAGAACTTTTCTTACCGCCGAAGATGACCATGCTTATGTAGATTGGTCAGAAACGAAACGTTTTAGACATAGAAAAACCCTTATAACATATTGCTGCAATTATAGATTAAAGTTTTTTTTTAAATTTTTGATCGACTATAATTGTATAGTCGTTATCTTTTCACAAACCAAAACTATTTTGTTTTTACTTTATGGTCTGTTCGAGAAAATTCATTTAATCTTGAATGTTGGGAATAAACTAACAGATTATTATGCCATACTTGTTTTTTCGTCCTTTTAATTGATAAAGCTAGCAAAAGAATTCGATTGATTATGGAAGAAGTGTCATATTCTCACCCTCGAAATGAATAAGAACAAAGAAGGATATTTGAACTTTTGAAAATATTTTATTTATTCAAAAAGGTTTCTTTCATGAACACTCTCGACCGGATCGTGATAATTATGTTAAAATTAATCTCGAAAATATTGATCCAAGTAAGAAAAAGGAAAGATTATTATTGAAAAAAAATAAATATTTATTTATTTTATTAATATAGATTTGACATATAATTTTGATAAATATGATAGTTCAATAGTAAATACACAAAATACTCCGTATGATTATGCATCAGTAATGCATTATGAACCCGATGCTTTTTCATCAAATGGTCTTCCAACAATTGAATCAATTCAACCAAATGTTATATTTGGACAACGTTATAATATGAGTACTATCGATATTCTAGAAGTTCGATCATTTTATAATTGTTTATCAAGTGGTATTACATTTCCACCAATGCCTACAACTACAACAGGTTATATAGAATAATTCTTTTTTAGAAATTTAATATCATCTTTGCATATAAATCCATGAACATTTTCTTAGAATTTTCATATTTCGGATATATAAATAGAAGTAGTTTTTTAATTGGTTAGAGGGAAAGAAAAACATTTTATTTACTAAACTTCTCGTGCACTAAACATATAATTATTTATTAAATAGTTAATTTATATATGATGAATGTAACTTTATCATCATCATTGACGAACAACAGTGAAACATTTTATCATCCTTATGGTCAAGGTATGATTTATTACTATGAAGTATTTGAAGTGACTGTTCCAGTAGATGGTGATTATATTATACTTAAGTCTCATAGTTCAATTCCTACATCTGGACTTATATATAAGGAAAATTTTTATGCAAATTCACCAAATATTAATTTACTTGCAATAGGTTATGATAGTGATGAAAATATACAATTTCAGTTCAATTTATATTTGAAATCTAATACACGATACATATTAGTTATTACAACAGTTACTTCACAAACTACTGGAAATTACACATTATTAGCATCTGGATTAAATCGGGTTAATCTTCTTCAAATAAATAGTTCTTCAATTGTATCAACAACAACAACAACAACAGGTAAGTTAATTCTATTCAGCTTTTTCTATGACAACTACACAATTAATCTTCTAACATGGAAATCTCTTCAACTGTCAAATTGCTTTTAAGTAGAAAAGCATTAGATTGTTGGTTATCGATCATGCTGAGATTTCGAATATTACTATGCCTTTCGCAACTAGTTTTATAGAAATCCAGCTTAACAGAGCGAAAAACTTTTTTTTTGATTTTTGCCACATTGTAGAGTGCGTGGAGTTGTATTTAGAAAGATTTTTTTTTTCCATTTCGGAACGATCATAAGTAGTTTTTTCTTGCGTCCTGTGACTTGTATAAAAGTTGTAGGGAAAAGAGAAAATTACGATTGTAGTAGTGTTTATAATCGTTCTAGAGTGAAAAAGAAAAGTCTAACAGCAGCTGGCATAGCGATGTTTGAAATCAGCATGGTCAATAACCTACGACCTAATGCTTTTCGGCTCAAAATCGATGCGGTAGTTGGAGAGGTTCTCGCGTAAGAAAACTTATAATAATAGTAAAAATATTTGTTTATATAATCCTAAAAAACATTTTAGACGTGTCTAAATGAGTTTTTTTTGTAAAATAATGACGTTTCAATGCAACTTATCTTTAAATATACATTCATTCTAAATTTTTTCGAACAAACATTTTCCATGGCATGAGCTGCTTCCAGTTACAGGCTAATTCATTAAATGAGTATAAATGTAACGACGAATGACGAATCCAATTGCATGTATTCAGCTCGATAATAGTATTAAAATCTTCTTGAGAATTATCGAAAAGATACAGCTAAACTTATTGTATATCTGATATTATGGATTTCTCTAAATATGAATAATGTTAAATCTTATCGGATCCTATATGACTTCTATCGGATTCCGATACGATTCAACAAAATTCGATAGTATCCTGTATGATTTCATTGAAATTCGAGTTGTGGATTCGCTCACAGATCCATAGGATTGGATTTGGTCGGAAGCCTTAAGAAATCCGAAAAATTTTCGACACGAAGTTTTCGTGAGCGATTCCATAATCTGGATTCTCATCGGATTGTGTCGGCTGGTCGGATCGGATTCATCCACCTGGATAACTCAATAATAAGTTCCTTTCAATAAATAGTTGTTTATAATTTTTAGTACCGAATTAAATTGATTTAAACTTTCCTTTTCGATCATTCGAAAGACAAGAGTCAGGTTGGCATTGATCCATATAAGATCTATGTATAAAATATATTTTTAAAAAATCTATTCTTTTAGAACATTCAGTATTTTCTACGATTTACTTTTTTTTAGAGTTTTTCTTTTAACTTCATTATATATTTTCTGATCAAACGAAGTCAAAGGTGATCCTTGAAAATTAATTCTGTCTTTTGTTAAAATAAAAAAAAATGTACTAGATGGGATAAATGGATAAATTCGATAGTTAATAACGTCAAGTTATGTAGATTATCTATTCCTAAATCAGAATTATTTTTTAACAGACTTAACTTTTAAATTTTGATTTAAACTGCTTATGTAATTGAAGATATCCTTTTGAATATACATATTTAATTGATTTTTTTGTGATAAAAATAGTCAAATATTATCATATAAAAATGTCATTTTATCTATTTTAATTATTGTCTTATTTCAATTTTTGATACTATCAAGAATATTATTTTAATAGATAAATCAATCTATACGATAATATATATAATTATTTATTTAAGCGCCAAATACCGAATTTGTTATCTCAACATATCCAAGTGCATTGACCATAAATAGTCCTACATATGATCGATTTGGTGGTTTTGGCATGTATTATTACGAAGCAATAATGATATCTGTACCTGAAACTGGTTATTATGCAGTTGGAAGTAATAACACTATTAATACTTATGGATATTTGTATTTAAACAGTTTTAATCCATCGAACATAGCGGAAAATTTAATTACTGGAGATGATGATAAGGCAGGCAATTCTCAATTTGCAATAGTATATGAATTTAAATCTATGACAACATATATTTTGGTCGTAACTACACATGATCCAGTAGTCATTGGATCACTCTTAATTTTGGCAGAGGGTCCAAAAGCAGTTACATTTACTTCCATGAAGAATATATCAACAACAACAACATCAACAACTCCATCAATATCAACAACTCGATCAACATCGACAACATCGCTTAGAGGCTGTGAGTAAACTATAAAAACTAATGATTCTTAAGCAAGATTCTTTTGTTTTTTTTATTTATTTAAGAAATTTTTTAGAGTTTTATACCATTACCTTTGTTATTACAGTGTAAAACAATGTGTGATGCTATCCATTACAGTACTATTTGTACATTTTCTTACATTTGAGTATGCTTATGAAACGATTTGTTAATTGAATAATTCTTGAAAATAACAAAAAAATTCTAATTATTAAAAGGAGGACAACTGATACAAGTGATCGATCATTTCATTTCTACATTTTTGTTTGTAACAAATTATTTAGAGTATATTAAAAGTAATGAGATCAGCACTATAATATCCTATAGAAAGCTCGAGGCAATTTTTTTCCCGTATATATTGATAGTTCAAACAATGTCATATATTTCTTTCATATTTCATCATTCTTTAGTTATGGTTCAGATCAGTTTACATTTGTAATATAAGGATCTTCATTTATAAAGCCATGGATTTGTTCGATATTTTGAGATGTTGTCTCGGTTACAGACCTACTAGGTTGTGTTTCATCTTCGATTTTCACGGAATCATTCAAGTCTCCTGAATGGTGGAATCTAGTCGTTAGAAATCAGATGTAGCTCTTCATGAATAAGTTTTGATTGAATAGGAAATGTAGTGCAAATTTTAAATATAAGAGCAAACGCTTTTTATACCCATTTGAATTACAGATGAAGAGACTATATATAATAAGATTAAATCTATTTTAAAAAAATGATTACTTTTATTTAGTTGTTCCGTGAGAGATTAGCTCAATAAAAATCTATACAATTTTAGAATGTAGAAAAAAAAACATTGTTTAAATGATTATATTTATTTATTTAGCATCAGCTTCAACAAAATCCAATATTATTACAATTCATCTTTTTATTTATATTATATTTGGATATGTTCTTGCTTATTTTATCTAAATATAAAATTATCAAAAATGAAAACAACATATTACTAACATTTTATACTAACACAAAATATATAATCTTTTTAAAATGGAACGAATATATTTATCTTAATAATTTCTTGACTAAATATTAAATTTCTCTTTTTCTATCTCAGCTTAATCACAAATATTCTTTGGTTAATTTCGAATATATTTTTTTTTTCACTTTTAACTAAAAAGTGTATCTGATATATTTGTGAATATAAGTTTAATTACATCTAAAAGAAATGATATTTATAAGTATGTTCATAAATATTTCATAACTTGGATTATTTTTGATCCATTTGTAGTGAATGAAATAAAAAGTGACTTTTTAAGAAATGTTTTATTTTAAATCAATTGAAAAATAGATCGACTTATATTTCTATAATACAAATCAATCTGCTAGTATCAACTTTTGTTTTTCAGTAATCGACTAAGTCACAGTAATATAAGATTTAATTGATGTACTTACTAAAACAAAAAAATAATAGATAAATGCAGAGATATTTTCAGCGACGCGTTTCGTATTATTTATTAAAATATTGAAACACTCATTCATGGTCTGCATTACAAGTGATAAGTAAAAATTACAAATGAAATGAAAAAGGAGCAAAAATTTAATCAAAGAAAAATGGCTAGAAACCATGACAAATCTTTAAGGAGGAGAAGGTTGAAGTTTATTGTAGGCTTGAATGAAGGTGTATGTGTGTGTGAACAAAACTACTGCACTCGCATTCACTCACACCCAGGGTATGCATTTTTCTTTAAATATAGTGCAAAAATAATTCATATTTACAACGCTGTGCCTCCGTAAAACATCAAATCAATTAAATAAGTTTATTTATTGAAAACAGATCTCAATAGTAGTACGTAGAAAATGATTAATGTAACTAAGGTATATTATAGTTCGTCAGTCTAGAAAAAGCAAGAATATAATTAGTTAACCAATAATAAGTTTTGAAATTTACCTACTGAACAAGCACTTTTATCGATAGTAAATTTAGGAATGCGAACATTCATATTATCGAGAACATACAAGTTTCTATGCCGATTAAATACCAAATCAGTTGAACGTGATATATAAGATGTGTCATCACCCCATCCTGGTCAACCGAGAATAATTTTGCCTGATGTAGAACCTTCAGACCAACGTGTTACTCGATCATTACCATAATCAACAACATAGACAGTGCTTGAATCGTTAACGACCA